GACCTTCTAGCTGTGAGGCCACGGTGCTAACCACTGATCCACCTGCAGCCTCATTTTGAGTCATTTTAGGCAAATCTGAATTAATTTTGGACTTATTTTAGACTGTCTTGGAAAAGTTTAATTTTAGTCAAATTTTGAGTCATATTGGGAAAAACAAATTCACATTAGAAAAGTTTTGAGCCGTCTTGGACAGCTTCCAGGCCCTTCTAGTCAAGTTCCAGGTTGAACCGGTTGGTTCCAGGGCTTGTCGTGGAACCACGGCAGACCCTGAGTGCACTCACTGCTGGCTGCCAGAGCGATGACCAGAATGAAGACAAGCGCCGCCGTCGCAGCCGGAAACATCCAGCGTCTGTAGCTGTGGACGGCCGACAGGGAGATGGGCCGTGGCTCTGGGGACAGACGGACGGACAACAGACAGACGGTGTGAGGTCACAGCTGGCAGCCTCCTGGTTCTGGTGTGTCCAGGTGTGTCCAGGTAGGTACCTTTGTTCCAGAAGGAGCTGCTGTCGTCCTCCACGTCGTCATGGTATTCAGTCGTCATGGCGATATCTCTGCTCCGTCTTCTGACAAACTGCTGACTGTCCAAACAGAGCCGCAGGTCGTTGGCCGCAAAGCGCACTTTGAACCCAAAACCACTGTGTGTGTGTGTGTGTGTGTGTGTGTGTGTTTGTGTGTCTGAAGGTCACAGAGTGGAGAGGTTGAACATTCAGTCAGTCGGAACACAGCGTCCACCGTTCGGCTGTTTGTCATCACACACTGGTGTTGGTGTGTGTCTGTGGTGGTGCTCTACTAATCTGGGGTGGTTGTGTGTCTTTGTAGTTGTGTACGTTTGTGGTCTTTTTCTTTGTGGTTGTGTTGTGTCTCTTTGTGGTGGTTTTGTGTCTCCTAGTTCCTCCACCTGACGAGGACGCAACAATCTCAAACTGAAGCTGAACGTCTCACACCTGGATGTCCACATACTTCTGGTCCTGACTGTCTCTGTCCTCACAGGAACATTTGACTGTGGTCAGTGGTGCACGTTTTTATTTGTATTTATTTTAGCTCTGTGCCTGGTGAGAGAACAAACAGTAAACCTGAAAGCATGGAACACAGAACATACATCAGACATGGTGAAACATCAGCGCACATGTTCTGCTTTCGTGTGTCACTGTGATAGTTGTGCATCTTCCTCCATGTGTTTCCTGTTTTTAGTCCGTTCTTCTCATTCTGGTCGTGTGTGCTTCGTTTTGTGCTTCGTTTCTGTGATTTGGTGTCCTGTTGACGTGCAGCAGCTGAACTGCAGCCTGACGCCAGCGGAGGAGCAGCAGCGACTCAGCGGCGACGTCATCCCTCGGTGAGGTCGTCGTTGAAGTGCAGCAGGATGGCGGGCGTGAAGGCGTCTCGGTCCAGTCGCAGCTCCTCCAGCTCCGCGTCTCCGTCCACCACGCCGTTCTCGCTGAGCGTCCAGCTCATGTCCAGACTCCGGCCGTCGTGTTTCCAGGTGTAGCTGCGAGCGTGGGCGTTGTAGCGCAGGTAACGCTGCACGATGTCCTCCAGAGTCTCCTCCGAACACACCTGAGGAGACACGACACGTGACTTAGTAAAGCTCCTCGTGTTCCTCACAGCGTCCTGATCAGCTCCGGACGCCCTGCACGTCTTCATCATGTCCTGGGAGGAAACCTCACACAGCAGCGTTTGGTTCTCGTAACCCTCCACCTGCAGACAACACCGGCCTGTCTGTGTCATGCTGAGCCTCTGTTTGTTCATCTTATGCCTGATTGCGGTGTTCTGTGTTTGGGTTAAGGTTCTGCTTTAGGTCTCATTTTAATTCATTCCTGCTCCATTCTGGTCATTTGCACTCTGGGAGGTGAGACTCAATCCGTCAGTAAATGAGCACAAGAAGCACAAAATGAGCAGAACAACCAGCGAGAACACTCCGTTACCCAGAGTGCACCTGTGCTGCAGCTCACCTCCAGCCGCTGCTCCTGAGACGTCAGCGTGTTGATGACTCGGATCCACCTGGTTTTGGTGGACAGCAGTCCCACCTGGTAGTTCTGGTCCCTCCACCAGGGCTCGCCGAAGTCGCTGGCCCAGTCCGAGCGAGGGCCGGCGGGGGGAACGTGGATGAAGCGCCCCCTGGGGGTGTAGTACCTCACGCAGCTGCTCCCAGGGTCCACGTAGGTCCGGACCTGAGGACGGGTTCACATCTGGGTTCATTTACGGCAGGCTAGCGGTCAACATCACGGCGGCTCAGCTACTTGGTGTGTCAGTATCCACATTTCTGCTGCTTTAACGACCAGCTTCTCATGATTTAGTGTTTTACTGTCTGATTTCTGATATGTTGGTGTTTTAACATCTCAACTATCAGGTTTTTAGATTCTGGTGTCTTCATGACCCAGTTTCTTTTGTATTGTACTCTTTTTGACTTTTGATGTCAAGACAACATGTAGCACCGCATGCAGCTCACGTCTTGGGTTTGGGGGTCGAACCAGGAGCTGATGTCCTTCCCTGCAGACTCCACGATGGGCAGCAGCAGAGCGTCGCCTGCAGCCACAGACACAGAACATCAAGTCCATCACCAGCTGTTACGTCCATGTCTCCCGGGTTCTGTCCTCTGTGACAGTACACTGAATGTGTTTGGGCAAAACAACACATCTGAGGAAACTCTGATCCATATTTTTCACCGTTTTCTGACATTTTAGATCCAAACAGCTGATCGGTTCATTCAGATAACACCCAGCAGTGAAGCTAGAGATCAGCTGCAGCCCTCGTTGCTCCCAGAGGTCACTAAAGGTCACTAAAGGTTACTAAGGGTCACTAAAGGTCACCAAAGGTTTGTTAGTGATAACTGGGGACGTTCTGTTCATCGTATTCAGACGCTGACAGTGAATATTAACGCTGCTGTGCTCATGTGCTGCCGAGGAACGCTGGTATCTTTAACGGGAACCTAAAACGAATTCAGTTTGATTTGTGCAGATGATTCACGTCTTTAAATGTCTTGTTTTGTCCAATAAACGGCTCAGAGCTTCATTTACTGCCACGATGAAGACACAAAGAGCACATTCACATTTTAGAGGCTGGAACCAGGAAACGTCACAAATACCCAACTGTAGCGCACATTAGAAAGAAAAAGACAAAGTTTGTTGCTGAAATAATGAATTCCATAAAAGCAGACAAATAAGCAGAAAAGAACAAAACTAGTGAAGAAAATATAACAACTGATTTTCTGAAATATGTCTGGACTTGTGCTCATGAATAAGAACAAGGTGCTTTCAGATTCATTTAAATAACAAGGAAATACTAGTTGGAACTTTAATCAGTTTAAAAACTCCTGCTCATAATTATTGTAAATTAAATCCATAACACTTAAAAAAATCTGGACAAAAATGCCTTTGATTGTAGAGGAGAAGCTGATCCGTGACCTCACGAGTTTAATATACTGACTGATGCAAACTGTTCATTTAGTGCATTAATACCACAGTTATTATTATTATTATTATTATTATTATT